ACAAGAGACCAAAATACACACAGGACCCAGTGTATTGCTCTGTTCTGTCCACCTGTCTTACTATATTCTCTTTTTAAAATTTTAATCTTTTTTTACAGTTTTGGGTGTCTTCTGATTTGTTTATTGTATATTTCTTTGGGGTCATTGTTGCCATTTTAGTATTTTGTTCTTGCATTCATCTGTTCTCTAGACTGAGAGACAAGATGGAAAACTCACCTCAAAAAAGAGAACAAGAGGCTCTACTGACTGCCAGGGACCTATATGGTATGGATATAAGTAAGATGTTGGAACTAGAGTTCAGAATAACAATTATTCTGGGCTGGGCTTCAACAAAGGATAGAAGGCACTGGAGAATCTCTTTTTGGAGAAATGAAAACTAAAATCTAATAAAGTAAAAAAAAAAGACTATTAATGAGATGCAATAAAAAATGGAGGCTCTAATTGCTAGGAAAAATTAGGCAGAATAGAGAATTAGTGATACAGATGACAAAATGATGGAAAATAAAAAGCTGAGAAAAAGAGAAATAAACTAGAGGATCATGTGGGGAGAATTCAAGAGTTAAGTGATATCATAAAGCAAAAACAATATTAGAATAATTGAGACTACAGAAGAAGAGAAAAAGACTATCCAATGGAAAAAGGCAGTTTCTTCAAAAAATGGTGTTGGGAAAATTGGATAGCCACATGCAGAAGAATGAAACTGGACCATTTCCTTACACCATACATAAAAATAGACTCAAAATGGATGAAAGACCTAAATGTGAGGCAGGAATCCATCAAAATCCTAGAGGAGAACATAGGCAGCAAACTCTATGACCTTGGCTGCAGAAAATTCTTGCTAGACATGTTTCCAAAGGCAAAGGAAACAAAAGCAAAGAATTGTTGGGACTTCATCAAGATAAAAAGCTTTTTTCACAGTACAGGAAACAGCTGACAAAACCAAAAGACAATGGATAGAATGGGAGAAGGTATTTGCAAATGTCTTATTAGATAAAGGGCTAATATCCAATATCTATAAAGACTGAAAGAAAAAATAATCCAATCAAGAAATGGGCAGAAGACATGAACAGACATTTCTCCAAAGAAGACATATAAATGGCCAATAGACACATGAAAAAATGTTCCAAATCACTTGGCATCACAGAAATACAAATCAAAACCACAATGAGATACCACTTCACACCAGTAAGAATGGCTAAAATTAAAAGTCAGGAAACAACATATGTTGGTGGGGATGTGGAGAAAGAGGAACCCTCATATACTGTTGGTGAGAATGTAAGCTGGTGCAGCCACTCTGGAAAACAGTATGGAGGTTATTCAAAAAGTTGAAAAAAGAACTAACCTATGACCCAGCAATTACACTACTAGGGATTTACCCCAAAGACACAAATGTAGTGATCCAAAGGGGCAACTGCACCCCAATGTTTATAGCAGCAATGTCCACAATAGCCAATCTATGGAAAGAGCCCAGATGTCCAATGACAGATGAATGGCTAAAGCAATGGAATACTACTCAGCCATCAAAAAAGAAAGAAATCTTGCCATTTGCAATGATGTGGATGGAAATAGGGGGTACTAGGCCAAGTGAAATAAATTAATCAGAAAGACAATTACCATATGGTCTCACTCATATGTGAAATTTAAGAAACACAGAAGATCATAGGTGAAGAGAGGAAAAAAATAAAACAAGACAAAATCAGAGAGGGAGACCAACCACAAAAGACTCTTAATCGTAGGAAACAAATTGAGGGTTGTTGGAGGGGAGGGGGAATGGGGTAACTGGCTGATGGACATTAAGGAGGGCTCATGATGTAGTGAGCACTGGGTATTATATAAGACTGATGAATTAGGTAGTAATAATATATGTTAATTGAATTTAAATAGAAGAAAACTTCAAAAAAAGAACTAGTATGAAGGTTGAATACAAAAATAGTTTAATTGACCATGACAACAGTAAGCAGTTAAAAGATCACAAAATAAAAATATGTAAAATAAGACATCAAAAAACCCTCCAGTGGTAGGGGGTGAGGGGAATTTAAAAAAATTGTACTGTTTCAGAATGCACTTGATTTTAAGTGACTATCAGCTCAAAAAATATATATATACAAACATATACATATATGTGTCAATATATGAACCTTATGGTATCCACAGGCCAAAAACTACAATAGATGCACAAAAGAGAAAGGACCTCAAATATAACCATCAAGAAAATAAACCAAAAGGGAAGAGAACAAGAGAAGAAAGGAACAGAAGGACCACAAAAAGAACCGGAGGACAATGAATACAATAGTAATAAGCACATACTTATCAATAATTACTTTAAGTTTAAATGGACTAAATGCTCCAATCAAAAGGAAAAAAAGAATGCACAAGTTACCAGTATTAGAAGTGAGAAAGTATCACTAAAGATTCTACAGACATTAAAAGGATAACAAGGCAGTATTACTATAAAAATGTATGTCAACAAATTTCAAAACTTCAATGAGATAAATTCTCTGAAAAATATAATTTACCAAAATTGACACAAGATGAAATAGAAAATCTGAATAGGCATAGTCATATTAAATAAATTAAATTTGTAATAAAATCTTCTCAGAAAGAAAAAACAGACATGTTTTGTCAAATGTGACAAAACAGATTAAAAAAAATAAGACCACCTGTATGCTGCCTACAGGAGACTTACTTCAGATCTAAAGACACACAGGCTGAAAGTGAAGGAAAACAAGATATTCTATACAAATGAAAATAAAAAGAAAGCTGGTACATAATATTTGTATAGGACAAAATAGACTTTAAACAGAAATCTAAGCGCCGAGATAGCTCAGTTGGAGAGCGTTAGACTGAAAACAGAAACTCTAAAAAAGACAAAGGCATCACGTAATGATAAAGGGTTAAATCAAAGCAGGGGATGTTTTAGTACTTATGCAACCTAAGATGGGAGTACCTAAATACATAAAACAAACATAACAGACACAGGAGGAAATTGACAGTAATACGTTAACAGTAGGAGACTTAAATATGTCACACTTCTGCTATTGAGTAGATCATCCAAACAGAAAATCAATAAGGAAACATTGGCCTTAAATGACACATTATATCAAATAGACTTAATAGATACCTATAGAACATTTCATTCAAGAACTTCAGAATACACATTTTTTTTTTTAAGTGCATAGGGAACATTCTCCAGGATAGATCACACGTTAGGTCACAAAATAAGTCTCATTAAATTCAAGAAGACTGAAATCTTAACCAAGCATCTTCTCTAACTACAAAGGTATGGAACTAGGAATCAATTAGAAGAAGAACTGGGAAAAAAATGAACACATGGAGACCATGTAGCATGTTACTAAACGACTAATGGATTAAAAAGAAATCAAAGAGGAAATAAAAAAAATACCTTGAAACAAAAGAAAACAGAAACATAACTCCCCTAAATCTATGGGACATGGCAAAAACAGTTCAAAGAGAAAGCACATAGCAATATAGCAAAAAATAAATTTTAAAAAGTCCAAATAAACAGTCCAATTTTCTACCTAAAGAAACTAGAAAAAAAGAACAAAGCCTACCTTAGGAGAAGAAAAGACTTAATAAAGAAAAGAGTGGAAATAAATGAAACAGACTGAAAAAAATATAAAAGATCAATGAACTAAAAGCTGGTTCTTTGAAAAGGTAAACAAAATCAATATACCTCTAGTCAGGTTTATCAATGAAAACAAGAGAGCACACACTCAGACAAAATCAGAAAAAAGAGGAGTGCCTGAGTGGCTCAGTTAAGTGTCTTCCTTCAGTTCAGGTCATCATCTCGGGGTCCTGGGATCGAGCCCCTTGTTTGGGCTCCCTGCTCCACAGGAACCTGCTTCTCCCTCTCTGTCTGCACCTCCCCTTCCCCCACTCATGTGCTCTCTCTCTCTCTCTCTCTCTCTCTCTCTCTCAAATAAATAAAGTCTTTAAAAGAAAGAAATAAAAAGAGAACTTACAAATGATACTATATACATAAAATATCATAAGAGATTACTGTGAACAATTATGTGCCAAAAATTTGGAAAACCTAGAATAAATGAATAGCTTTCCAACTCTGAATCATAAGAAAAGAAAATCTGAATAGAACAATTACAAGGAATGAAATTGAATCTGTAATTCAAAACTTTCAAAAAGGAAAAGTCCAGAATCAGACAGCTAGCTTCACAGGTGAATTCTAATAAATATCTAAAGAAAAGTTAATGCCTACTTTTATCAAATTATTCCAAACAATTGAAAAGAAAGGAATATTTCCAAACTCATTTTATGAGGCCAGCAGTATCCTGATATCAAAACTAGGCAAAGACATCACATTCACAAAATGATAGGCCAATATGCATGATGAACTTAGATGAAAAAAAACCTTAAGAAAATATTTAACAAATCAAATTCAACAATACAATAAAAAGATCATACACCACAATTGAGCAGGATTTGTTCCAGGAATGCAAGGATGGTTCAGTACCTACAAATCAATGTGACACCAAACACCAACAAGGATACAAATCGTATGATCTCCTTAATAGAGGCAAAGAATGAATGTGACAAAATTCAATATACATTTGTAAGAACTCTTAACAAATTGAGTACAGAAGAAACATATCTCAACATAAGAGACTCTAGGATGGCAGGTTGTAAACCTCTGTTGAATTTTGGACTCATAGTGATGTGAGGAGCGGATAATGATAGTGATGTGGGGAGGTAAACACCCAGGTGTAAATAGAGTTTTGACATTTGAAGGTTATTATGTTAGATGAGCAGGTAATCTGTTGCCCAAGAAATAGATTAATGTTCAGTGACAGTTACTAAAACTGGTTTATGATATCCTAGCGATTCCAATCATTTATTCACTTGAGTAATGGATATCTTGACTCACCCCAGAGAAGCCTGATGGGCAGAGTACCAATAGGACAAGAAAGAAACCATTTAGATGAATTTAGTGCTAGGCACCACCCATCATCACAGGGAGAACTTACTGTTGCATTTGGAGACACTGATGACATTTTTTTCCATAATCTCTATACCCACATTTGACCTTAAAGAGAAAAATACAGAAATTAATCTGCAGGTGACCCCCAAAATCAGGAAACACAAGAAGCCACATTATATATTGTTTTCAGTTACTTCTTAGTGCTAAGAATTGACTAATGACTACTGATTAAATTTTCCTTCCTTTGCTTATTGGTCCAGGGGGTATAGATACCCACAAGGTGTGCAAGATAACTTATTGAAGTGCAGTAAGAATATATTCAAGCACACATTTACACATATGTTTCTCATTCCCTTTTGATTTTTATTATGTTTATCTTTATGTTTCAATGATAAGGGTTAAATATCCAAAAAGACTGAGAACTACTGGAAAGTAAATACTGTCCCCAAATGAATTCACAGATTTTTTTTTCTAAAATGGCTCTTCATAGAATTCCCAAACTGATATACTCATGGCACTTTCCTTTGGAGCCACACAGAGGCTAAATCATTACCATATTTTCCCAGGTAGTCTCCAGAAAAAAATTATTTACCTTTCAAAGAGGTTCCATTCTTGTTTGCTGAGATAAGAAACATCCTTGTTTTTGGAATGCATGTGAGTGAGAGCAGCACAGGGCATGTGGGGTGGTCTTACACAGTAGAAGGCTTCTTGGTCTTGTGCATCCAAGTACTCACACAGCTCAGTGCTGGAGTTTAAAACCAGGGCACAATCAGTATCGACATGGGAGGTACCACTGGCAAACTGGCCTGTGAAAATCACCCTGTCATAGCCTTGGTTCCTGGCCCTCCAGAGAGCTGATGCCCCTTCACTGGGGTGGATAAGCAGGAGAGACAGAGAGACCCAGCCCTCCCAGAAGAGAGTGAAGCTGACCAGGTAAGTGCCATTGTTGTAGTCGGTCACATTTCCTGATGCCCCTGCCTTCAGGGCTGGAGACGACATCCTGGCTCTCAGGAAGTCCCCACCATATTCCTTCCTGCGTCCCAAGTGGTCCCTCCCCTCCAGGACAACATCTAGCCGATCACCCCTGCAGTAGGCATCTCGAGGGTGGAGGATGGTAGCTGTGCTATGTGCTGCACTGGTGGTGGTATTCATATGGGTGAAAGGTCTGGGTGGGATCAGCTGGTCTAGTTTCCCTGTGATTCTCTTTATTCTTAGCTCGGTCTCAGCTGATGAAACTACTGGATGCAGCGGTACTTCAGGACATGGGGATTTCATGACCAAGTTCCAGTGATGGAGGGTGATGGGCAACCTCAGTGCAGTCCATATCTGAAATGATAATAAATACAATAAAGAACATAGAAAATGTTTTTATGTAATATAGTAACTTTTGGTAGGCTAGCCAACCTTGATCTTTTAAACTTATTTTCAAGATTTTATGTATTTATTCATGAGAGACATAGAGAGAGAGAGAGAGAGAGAGAGAGACAGATATATAGGCAGAGGGAGAAGCAGCCTCCCTACAGAGATCTCGATGCTGTACTCTATCCTAGGACCCTGGGATCATGACCTGAGCTGAAGGCAGACACTCTACCACTGAGCCACTCAGGCGTCCCCAACATTGATCTTTCATAGAATAATGGGAGATATAAAAAGTAAAAGGATATTGAAATTCTATTATCATGTAGGTTTCATGGGCAAAATAATTTTCCTTAAATTTGTTTGTGGAACTCCACTTTTCACTGGCTAACCTATTTTGGGTTCCAGGATATTCTTCCCTAAAGTGGTGTTGGTAAAATACACCTTTCTTTACTGAGCAGTTGTGAAGATGTGAAGAAATGATTTTTTTAACTGAATAGTGCACAACAAATATTTAATTGTTCTATTATTTTGTAATCTTTAAACTAGAATTCAGTCATTAAAAAAATTTAAGAAAATGCTTAAGATGCATGAGACTTTTATGCAAAATATGATTATTTTTTCTATTTGATATTTTACACTTTGCTTAAACATTCTAGGATATTTATTAGTATTTTTCAGATTGTTTTAGTTAACTCAGGGAATAATAAACTTATGTTTATAAACACTTATTTTCTAATCATAAAATAACACTGATTATTAAAAAGTGAGAGAATGCCGAACTGTATAGGAAACAAAAATCAGTGACAATTCTGTCAATCATGGATAATTAGTGTCAATATTTTGGTGATTTTTCTTGCATTCTCAATATGCCATTTCACATGATTGTGAACAAATTGAATATTACCCATGAATTTTGGCATTTTCAAAAGCAGTGTTATAAAAACTCCACCTTATATCATTGCCTCACGTAGTATCCCAACCTATGGCTATGGCTTAATATTTTACATATTCCCATATTTTTTGGATATTTATCACTCTCAACTTTTCTCTTACTTATGCTTCTATAAAGAACACCTTTTGGGGGATCCCTGGGTGGCTCAGCGGTTTAGCGCCTGCCTTTGGCCCAGGGCTCGATCCTGGAGTCCCGGGATCGAGTCCCACATCAGGCTCCTGGCGCGGAGCCTGCTTCTCCCTCCTCCTGTGTCTCTGCCTCTCTCTCTCTCTCTCTCTCTATGTCTATCATAAATAAATAAATAAATCTTAAAAAAAAAAGAACACCTTTTGGTATAAATCTTTGCAAGCCAGGTTATTTGCTAAGAACTCAGAAATAGAATTATTGGTTCAGTGTGGTGAATGCTGCTAAAGGTCTTAATAAATGCTATAAAATTGTTTTCCAGAACAATTCTCCTGCAGCCAACAATGATAAACTCTAAATCAAAACCAAAAAAATCTCCCCAAGTGCTGGAAAGTGACTGCTACAAGCAGATGGACACTTATGCTTATGGAGGAATGTTGAAACCTGCAGTAAGGAACGGCACTGGACTGGCATTCTAAGGGGGTATTAACAAAAAAAATTCTTCCAGTGGAAGGGAAATTACACAAAGAGAAACACAGATCTTCAGGAAAGAACCAAAAGCACCAGAAATGGCAACTATATGGATAAATATAAAAGACTATGTGTTTGTCTTCTAATTTCTCTAAAATGCATGTAATTATTTAAAGTAAAAACTATAATTTTGTAATAATATGGCAATGATGGCATAATGAATGGGGTGGCTAATAAATGAAAGTAAAGGGTGGCAAGGTTATTACAGATCACATGAAGCAGCATGACCTTACCTGATATTAACTATAAAAGAATGTGTATTTTAATTCCTAGAGGAACTACTTAAAAAAAACTTATAGCTGTAAAAATAATAAAGAAACTAAAAGGAAATTCTAAAAGAATTCAATTAATCCAAAAAGAGGAACAAAGGGGCTAAACAGAATACTAACAGCAAATTGGCGGACCTAAATCCACTCAGTAATTTCATTAACAATAAGTTGGCTAAATGTTCTATTACAAGACAGAGCTAAAAAAGCAAGACCCAACTATTTGCTGTTTACCAAGAATGTAATTCAAGCATAAAGTTATGTATAGATTGAAAGTATAGGGGCAGCCCTGGTGGTGCTAAACCGGTGCGCCTACAGCCCAGGGCGTGATCCTGGAGACCCTGGATGGAGTCCCGAGTCGGGCTCCTGCATGGTGCCTGCTTCTCCCTCTGCCTATGTCTCTGCCTCTCTCTCTGTCTCTGTGTCTCTATGAATAAATACATAAAATAATAAAAAAAAGATTGAAAGTAAAGACGGAAAACAACATGCCATATAAGCATGAAAAAGCTAATATTAGTGTTAAAATAAACTTCAAGACAAAGTGTCACCAGACATAGAAATGGACATCTCCATCTCTAAGAATCAATTTGTGTTAAGAGTCAATTTGTGGTAAGCGTCAATTTGTAAGAAAATATAGCATCATAAATTGTGTATTGTACCTACATGTGCATGTATGTATATGTGGGAAAAAATTGACAGAATTAAAGGGATAAACACAGAAATCCACAATAATAATTAGAAACTTAAAAACTTATATCAGTGGTTGCTGCAGGAACTAGATTAAAAAATAAGTAATGACCTATAAATATGAACATTATCATAGTAATCACAATACATTATCGGTATTTTTTAACTGCTGCACCTCCACATTTAAATTTTAAGTGATTTATGATAGAGTAATAATCTGTGCCAAAATTTTTTTAGTAAAAATAGGAAAACCTGATTCAAGATGGAGGACAAAGGACATATTATAGTTTCAATTTCTCACCAGAAACTCTAATGAAAGATAGGGAAAAAATTAAAAATTTCTAAGTATTCTGGGAAATAGGAAAAGATACCTTAATTAGATCAGAATTTATAAGAAATCTGAAAAATAGGAGTGTGTTGCTGTATCAGTTGGTAGAACATGAGACTCTTGATCTCAGGGTCATGAGTTTGAGCCCCACATTGGATGGAGAGATGAGAGAGAGAGAGAGAGAGAGAGAGAGAGAGAGATCAATTATCTGAAAAACAAAAGGCAGATGAGATTAGATCAAGTAACAAAACCATGGCTCCAAATGCATGTCAATGAGAAGTCTGTAGAAGATGGAAGCCACTCCAAGGATTCTACAACTTGGAGGAAGTTGGTAATTAGAATAAGAGAGGATAAAGGAGTAGCCCACAGGAAGATGTATGGGAATGGTTAACACTTCCCTAGATTTCTGCCTGTGTCTGGCCAGGCAGCTAGAAATAGGGACTTCTGTACTTTACTGTGAGTAAAAACCATAGATATTTAAGTTGGAGGATATAGGATAGGACCCTGTGTGCCTGGCAATACCCTAGACAGATGGGGAACATTCATTGCCTTGAGTACTTTTTGCAGCTCTGCTACAAATATGATGGACAAAACAGGTAACAGGACCCAGACTGGCCACCACAGAACCTTCAGTGTAGGAATATACACACAACCAAGAATTGGTAAAACTTTTATGAAAGCCAACTCAAAAAAGAAAGGTATCAAGTTCCATAAAGAAAAGACTAAGGAACAGAAATAGAAAATGCAAAACAAAACTTTAGAGCAAGTATATTTCAATCCTCAAGGAGATGCTAGGTGATATTTGCATACATCAGCTAATGAATCTGAGACCTTGGAAAGCAAAATCTTGCTGTTCAATATGCACAAGTCCACTGCATTCCTCCATACCAGCAAGAAGGAATTAGAAAATGTATTTTAGGGATCCCTGGGCTCAGCGGTTTAGCACCTGCCTTCAGCCCAGGGTGTGATCTTGGGGACCCGGGATTGAGTCCCACATTGGGCTCCCTGCATGGAGCCTGCTTTTCCCTCTGCCTATGTCTCTGCCTCTCTCTCTCTCTCTCTCTCTCTCTCTCTGTGTCTCTCATGAATAAATAAACAAAATCTTAAAAAAAAAGAAAATGTATTTTAAAAACACCATTACAATAGCTACAAAAATCATAAAGTACCTAGTTATAAATCTAAAAGATGTAGAGGACATGTATGCTAAAATTTTTTAATTTACTAAAAATTCTTGAAGAAGACCTAAATAAATGTACAGAGATTACATGTTGCTAAAAAGCAAAAATAAAAATGTCACTTTCTCCAATTTGATCTGCATGGTTAATGTAGTACACATAAAAATTAAGTAAGATTTTTCCATCAAATCTGACAGATTGATTCTAAAACATATAATAAAGAGTAAAGGGCTGAGCCTGGCCAGGAACCTTGTGAAGTTGATTAAGCAGTGGTAACTTGACCTACAAGCTTTCAAGACTAAATATAAAACTAATTATTATCATTAAATTAATTATATCAATGTGGTATTGATACAGGGAAGAAAAATAGGTCAATGAACTAGAACAAAGAGACCAGAAAGGTACGTGTACTTATCAGAAATGTTGCTATATGACAAAAATAAGATGGCAAATCAGCATAGAAACAACTACAGAGTAAGAAGAGCTGAAAGCGTGATTATCCATATGGATATAAAAATCAGGAAATAATCAAATTCAGATCTGGTGCAGGGTTAAATGTCTAAAGCAACCTGTAAAAGTTTAAGAAGAATATTTAGATAAAAAATCTGACACTGAAGCAAAATCTTAGTACCCAAAAAGAATCAACTGTTTAAAAAGGCAGATAAATTTTACTATATAAACATGAAAATGTGTTGTTCAGAAATTCCTTGAAGAATCTAAGCTAAACATTGGGAGAAAATCCTTGCAGGGGCATATGTAAGTGACAAAGGAAGAAAGCGTGCATGCCACCATACACATACATGCATACAATATCACCGTCTCCCATGCTAAATAATAGTTATCATATATGTTTGTTTGTTTATTTATCTATCTCCACACCCAGCATGGAGCCCAACACGGGGTCTCAACTCACCACCCTGAGATCAAGACCTGAGCCAAGATCAATGGTTGGAGGTCCAACCAATGGAGTCCCTTGGGCACCCCCAAATATGTCAGTTCTTCAAGGTCGTGTAAGCTGTTGAGACTTCCCTACTATAATCTATGAGCCTGGTTGTTTGGACTTTGCTAGAACAGGTGAAATAGGAAGTAAAAATATACTTCTGTAAGACACAGAAAGAAAGAGATTCTTACCTTTGTAGAGTTTTTAAAAACTGTAAAAGTGATCCAGGAGGCCAATAGAAACAACAATACCAACAGTGACTTACGATTTGCCATATTTCTAATGATTAGGATCCTACAAGAGATAACACGGAACAAGCACACTCACAATAGAAAAGAAATGCGGAAATACATGAGAAGTTTACATTTCTTGATTCTTTTGTCCTCAGTAAGTTTCTCCCAGAACAGAACCTTGCCCCACTCTCCCCCACACAGCTGCTCTTACTGTCCTTCCAGCTACTGTCTCTGGTGATCAGTTTGTACCTTGACCAGAAGTGCTATTCTGAGACAGATAGCCCACCATGGATTTTTATGAAACTGAGCCATTAATGGCCTGGAGGATGCAAGGCTGCTCATGTTTAGGTGAAGCCTCCAGGCTATTTTGTCCCCTCACAGAGTTCCTGTTCTCTTCCCTTAAACACAAACTGCAGACACAACACATATGAGCAAATATTGACACTGACCGTTATCCCAGGGCCCTTTTAATATAACTTGATATTTCCAGCTTCCTTATTATAATTCTATTATTATGTTCCTTTTTCTTGTTTTAACCACCCTTTTGTGGTACCAATGAACCTTAAAAAGATTTTAAACCTTAGATTTTTTTTTAAAAAAAAGAATTTAGACTTTTTTTTCAATGTTTTCCTATTCTAACATCTTCATTTCTGTCACTGTGCAAAAATTTCAAGTTGTCCCTTAAAAGCAGATTGCTTAGGGACATCTGGGTGGCTCAGTGGTTGAGCATCTCTGCCTTTGGCTCAGGGCGTGATCTTGGGTTCCTGGGATCGAGTCCCGCATTGGGCTCCCTGCAAGGAGCCTGCTTCTCTCTCTGCCTCTCTCTCTCTCTCTGTGTGTCTCTCATGAGTAAACAAAATCTTTTTTTTTTTTAAAAAAAAAGCAGATTGCTTAAATGCTGCCTTTCTAAAATTTTCTGTCTTTCAAATTTATTCCCCCCTAGAAGCATCTCATACCCTGGATCCCCAGTTAATATATAGACATTAGAAGTTTGTGCACCCAAGAGTAAACACTACCTCTTCCCCCACCTGCACAATTTTGAAAATGTTTTCATACCTTTAATTTAAAGATTATGTTTAATCCTATACATAGGAACTACTATAATCTGTGTGTAGAGGCTCTGTTTTGAAGACAGTAGTGTACCAGTGGGGTGTGTCTCCTCTGTGCCAAAAGAAAACACAGGTAAAAGTTGCAGCTTACATGCTTTCAGCTTGCAACCACAACCTTGTGCATATTTCAATGAAGGTTACTATCAGGCATACCAGTTCCCCCTCAAGGAGAGGCCTGGATCACAAAGTAACAGTCATCAGTGCATGCATAATGGAGGAGGGAAAATGAAATCCTGAGTATAGATTAGATAATTTTAATGTTTTTAGACTTTGTTAGCCTAGTTGTAGTACATACACGAGAGATACCTGATGAGAAAAAGAGTGAATGAAGCCGAATGTTTGAGTGATTGAGAATAGTCGGTCATTCCTGAAAAGCTGAAACTGCCTAGTTTCCATCTGAGCCTTGTCATCAAGACCCACTTGCCAAGATTCAAGTGTCTATTACCTTGTACATAGTAGGTACTCAATAAAAATTGCTTAATTTAACTAATAGAATCTCAAGTACAATGTAGGCAACACAATGATATTTACTCTCAAGAAAACAGAGTGATCGATTATACTTCTGAGTTTGAATCTATCTGGGATTTGCATTTTTTAAAAGATTTTATTTATTTATTCATGAGAGACACAGAGAGGAAGACATAGGCAATGGGAGAAGCAGGCTCCCCTTGGGGAGCCTGATATGGGACTTGATCCCAGAACCCTGGAATCATGCCCTAAGCCAAAGACAGATGCTCAACCACTGAGCCACCCAGGTGTCCCTGGGATTTGCATTCTTGAACTGACAGAAATGGTGCCAGAAAGAGCAGGTACCCAGGACAATTGCAATTGCACCAGTGCCCACAGAGAGCAGTAGCTGATTACACTGTGGATCCCTCCAGTCTCGTTTGTGCTGTTCCACACAGGAATTTAAACATGTCCATCTGTCTACAAAAGACTCGAGATCTGTTTCATAAGGACAGAATAATCTTTCCAGCATCCTTGATCATGCTCTACTGAACTAACCTTAACAATACTTCTCTATGTCATTACATATGACAGTTGGAGAAGCTGTTATAACCTTATATGTATGACTGGGTCCAGGATTGTTCATTTCTGTCCTAGGGAGCCTCTAATGAGAGATAAATATTTGTAGTTCTGGTTTGGTTGCTCCTTAGGAGACTAATGTTAGCAACCACTCAAGTTCACCACCTACTCTGACATGCAGATTTATGGATTTTAATTTGCTCTAGTTATGCAGATGCTGATATTTTATGTCAACCTGACATCTCTTCATGAGGCAGGAATAACAGATATGCTTGACTTAACTGAGAGCATAGAAGAGATTTTAAATGGTTTGTCCAGATCATCTAGTATGCTTTGAAGCAGAGCTGAGATCAGGATTCCTGTCACTTTGACCTCTGATTTAGAGCACTTTCCACCACTCAGCATGACTCCAACACAAATAGTATAACCAAGTTCCGGTAAATCCTGTGGTTCATATATTTATTGTCCATTATGCCTAAAAGACCCTCATCCCCCTTTAACCACTCAAAACCTGATGTGAGCAAGATAAATGGTCCTCCTTAGTGTATTCTCTTTGTAGTTAGTGTGTGGCTTTGAATAACTTCCTTTCCTCTAGGTTTATAGGTCTAACGAGAGATAGAAACATGAAAGCGCAATCAGGGGATCATGGGACTATGTGTTTACAGTATAAACCCATGTTTACAATTCAGGAGGTCACCAGTTCTTTGGGGTATGAGTAGGGAAAGAGTAGTGCTAACCAGGACCTAAAGAAGCCCACGCAAAATGGGCAGACTGCCAGCATTGGCAAAGCAAAGAGAAGCAAAGAGTTGATGTCCAGGGAACTGTCATTAGAGACTGAGCCACAAATTAGGGAAATGGCTGCTGGGGCCCCAGGAATCACACAAGATATGCCCGTTGCCAAAGAGGCTGTACTGAATGGTAGAGCTCATGTCTGTGGTATCTGAGCATCCCTGGAGAGATGAGAGAGGATAGGATACCAAAAATGATTCAGAATTCAGGCAGTGAGAAGTTGGCACACAGGACTCTTGAGGTGACTAAATAATGATGGACACAGGCTGTTGCAACTCAGTCATGTTAATGGAGGGAAAAGGGCCAGCAATGTGGCAGGAATATGGACAGATAGCAGACTATGGCTCCAGATTTACTAGGAACAGTATCACAAACTTTGCATCATTTTCAAGTATACTATGGGAAAAAGCCTATGAAGTTCAGAGTGACTGCCATTTTCATAGCACTTTTGGAAAAAGTAGTGAAAAAGTGGTGTAAAGCTGCTTGGTTATGCTTAAGTTATTGTTACCCTGCCACCCTGTAACAGAGATGGGCATCTATTTAACAAACAAGTTGTATAGTGGGGGCAACTGGGAATGAAAACATTGCCATACCACCAGAACTCCCTTTTGTGGGCGACTGCCTACCACTCAGAGCTCCAGCTGCTGAAGTTTGAAAGAGACACATATATGTGAGACAGGAAGCAGTTGGTGGGAGTAGGTGTGGAGAGAGCCACAGATTGAACAACAGCCAATATTTATTGAGGACTTCTTGCATGCCAGGAGCTATCCTAGTGCTGCTTTAGCAAACCTACTTAACTCTCAGAACTACACTATGATGTAGTTACCATTTTCAGCTGAGGAAACAAGTCAGAGTACAGTTAAATGTTAGCTGAGCTCACACAGTTAGTACACGGAAGAGGCAGGCCTGGGAGCCAGATCTTCAGAGCTGCATTTTAACCACTCTACAGTAGTGCCATGAAGCAGAGACAGAGAGTAGAGTATAGGAGAAATGGACACAAAAGTGCTTGAATCACTGAAATGGTGGAGCACAATAAAAATGGGGCCTGCTCTGGAGATGGTTTTAAACCCATCATTAGGACCATGTCAAGTCCTAAAGGCTCTTCCCTTTTAGCTAGTTCCTCAGCAACATTTTAGGATCTCTGTGAGGCACTGCAATATGTTGGGGGCCTGGGAGGAAGGGTTTTATCTTACCCCTAAAATTCTCAGACAGGATTCTCAAATGTGAGAAAGTCTCAAAATTACATGAAACTAGCTACATATCTTACAAACACAAGTCACTATATTTTTATTTACCAGCAGCCTGAAACATGTTTTCTATGAAGGTAAAAAATTAAACATAGGCAAGCTATGAGGATTTCATTCAAACATAGCTGGCCTTCACACCTTAGTGATACCAGCAGCACATGTCTAGGAATTTCCCTGGTTAGGTCAATGGACATGTTTGCTTGGATAGTGCTTTGGTTGGCTTCCTTAAAAACCTTCATGGATTTGAAGGCATCAGGCCATCTAGTCATTTTATGGCCAAAACTTGATCAACAGCTGTGCCTGGTTGAGACTTTACGTCCAATGTAGAATGAAGAAGAACTTTAAAAATTTGGGACCAGTCTTGCCCTTCACACTAGAATTCCTTCACTACTGAGACCCTTCTGGTCATATGACTATAGAGGAAATGTAGGCCCCTTTTTTTCTTGTGGAAAACATGTATGACATGCAACAACTTAAACATAGATGTTTCAGAATGCAAAGTATTCCATTTCATAATATACATACATTGTTAGGGCACATCTTTTCTCTGTATTAGAACATTGCAGTAACTATTATAGTCAAGAGCTGCTGCAGAAGCCTAAAATTAGTGGGAGTTTGATGAGAAATAAGAATATCTTCCCACTAATATATTTATTAATTTCAAATTGAAAAAGAGTAACTTTACAGTGAGTAAAATCAACACTGGCTTACTCCAGTGATCAGGTTAATATTTGTAGTTATAAGGTTTATATTTTTTCATGATTGTTGTACCAAGGGTACATCACTTCTGTGTTATTCTTGACAAAGAATAACAAAAAAATTCATTAGGTAAAAAAAAAAATTCATAGGTAGAAGTAAACATGTAATAAAATAGTAGATTAATCACTAATAAAACCAGTATAAAGGCTAAAAGAAAAAAGTAGCAAAATCAATTATATCAATAAAAACTAATCAAGGGATACACAAAACAAAAGATATAAAATATGACATACATAAAACATAGAGAGGGGAGTAAAAATGTAGTGATTTCATAAGGTATTTGAACTTAAATGGCTGTCAATCTAACATAGATTGCTAGACACATAGAATGTAAATATGAGTCCCATGGTAGCCACAAAACAAAAACCAATAATAGATATACAAAAAAATTTTAAAAAAGGAATTCAAGCGCTAACATTAAAGAAAACCACCAAACCACAGTGGAAGATGGCTAGAGAGGAAGAATGACAGAAGAGAACCAAAAAATAACCAGAAAACAGACGTGTTAATTTCTCTCCCTATCCAAAATACCATGGCCTTTCTTCCGAGATTAGAACAAATTATTTAAGATTTGTGTGGAATCAGAAAGACCCGAAAGCCAGGGGAATTTTAACAAGCAAACCATATCTGGGGGGCATCACAATGCCAGATTTCAGGTTGTACTTTTAAGCTTTGTGTTCCTCAAGACAGTTGTGGTACTGGCACAAAACAGCACCAC